ATGGCTGTTCTACCATTAGTGAGTACAATCCTGTGACTTACACCTACCCTTGTGCATGTGTAAGTTAACTTTTTAGTTGTTACATAGAGTTATGGTATCTCTGTGGTGCAACCACTTTTATTTTAGTATTGCATAAATCACAATTTAGTAAGTTGTAATTTAGTTACTAATTTATGTTTACAAGTAGGCTTGGTCTGAACTAGTGCAACAGGCTGCTGTTCTGTATGACTGTGTTTTCATTTGGCAGAGGATAATCAATACATCAACTACAGTATATAGATGTTTCAGGATGCATTCATGTTTTTAGTCCCAACATTAGTACCATTAACTGGTCAAACACAGGTAATTCATATCTATTTGAAAGCGTAAACAGATTAAGATTATTCTGATAACATTAACAAAAACAGTGGGTTTGGTATCCCTTCTTAATCTTGCATTAATCAATATATCTGATATATTAACCATGAATTAAATGACTTGGTGTTATGTAAAAGTAGCACTCGAAGCACTAAAATCACTAAGGAGCATATCATCCAAGTTTGCAGCTCTACAGAGCATTTCAGCACATTGTTTTGGTTTCACTTTGTCTCACTGCTCTCATTAACCCTCTGTAGGCAGCAGTTTCAGGCGAAAATCTCTGATAATCCAACTGTGCAGCACCGAACAGCAGACAGACAAAGTCATCTTGTTGGCTGGCGAACACAGTTAGCAGTCTAGACAGGCTAAAAGTTATATAACAGCAGCTTTGACAGAAGGCTGTGTTTCTGTCTCATTGAAAAAGTTTTATATTGCACCAGAACATACTGAATATGAATATGAGGAAGATTAACTTCATACTGCCGTAACTACTTAAAATGACATAGGTAATCTAATGTTGACATGCATACACTTAACGTGTGTTCCAACACATCTCTGGTGTGTTTCATCATTTCTCAAAGCAAGGAGTAAGTTAGCAGCAGGACTGACGCACACATTTTGATGACTGATCAAGTTGATCTATGTTAACCTTAAACGATGTGCAGCTTTCACAGCTGTGCCGTCCGCCCCTATCAGCGGTATAGCAATCACGCTCTAATTTCTCTCATACAGTCGAGCTTTGACAAGCATAAAACAGTAGCATCAAGTGTTTAAGGACTATTAATATAACGGCTAATGTTGAGTACCACTAACCATGAAACCTGGGGAGCGGAAGTCTGTTTTGATGTTTGATGGGGTGAAACCATACACATGTACACAAACATCAGTTGAGGATAATAAGCGACCCTCGTCTATATTAAGAACGGAACACTACTATGTCACTACCAAAGCCAAAGAGCCTCCCTTTCTCACTCGCTCTCGCTGACATAATAAATTACAAAGGCATATGTACGCAGAGACAGTCTGGTGGGACGTCTACATAAAAATAGATCTGAAAGCTCTCCAAGGGAGTATTGATTTAGAATGAATCAGGACACATCAAATGCCCGTTGGCACTTCACACTATACTTTTCAAGGTAATATTTTAAGTGTACAAAAAATGAAGGCTGGTATATTGTAGCTTGTGATAGAATTAGTACACTCTGTGTCTAAGGACCCTGAAAACAAGCCAACGTTAAAGAACCAGGGCTGACAAAGACTGACACCTGCTTTAACTCACATCTTCTGTTAAAAGCTGTGCTTGAACACACTACACTGACAACAGACAACAGCAACCTGACTACAGCCATGTCCTTCATTTGTACTTTAAAACATTTCAAAAGAGACCAACAAAAAAAACTAGCCATTTTAACACCACTGTGAATTTAAGGAAACTGTGTCATCATATACTCGGGACTACAAAATGATAAAAAGTCTGATAAAGAAATCAATAAAAAACAGTACTAAATGATGAATCAGCATAGTGATGCAAATATATCAAATATAATATCAACATATAAAGTGGAAACAAAGCAGCAATGTTACCTGTACAAGCAGTCCATATAATCAGCTCCTTTGCTGTACTCATCCCAGTATCTGTGGTACATCACTAAAACCTTTTCCTCTGATTCCAGGACTTTCTAAAAACAACAACAACAACAACACACACACACACAAGCATGGCAGATGTTATGGACAACAAGCACAAGGCAGGAATAACAGAAAATGCACCCCAATGCGTTTTTCTTTGCCAGCTGCTGGAGAGCTTTCGTGAGTGCTGCTTACCTTGTACAACTGCCGAACGTGATTCTCAAGAAAGACCTTAGTCTCTGTGTATAATCTTTCACCCAAAGGCTCGGGGTATGCAACGCACAATGCATAAATGTCCCTGGGGTCAGAGTTCAGGATAAATACAATGAGGATGAAGATGATTCCATTATGTGCAGTTAATAAAGATGTATGTAATACAAGGTACAACATTTGCTATGTTGCTAAATTAATATTGTAATGCTTTGCCACTGCCTGAACAACCACCTCTTGTCATTTCACACGGAACATATTAAATATGACATTTTGAAACACTTAAAACTATCTGAATTAGCCATATTTAGTGTTAAAAGTCAAATACGCTCAGCTCTATGCAAGCTGGCAACTGCTTTACTGTACTGAGCAGCTGTGTGACCTCCTGCCATTAAATACTGATCAGAAACGTAGCAAAAATATTGTGTTGTAGTTTCAATTTCAATATAGAGCAGGTTGGCATAGGATACGAGAACCGATCATTCCACGTGGCTCTCTCCACATAGTCGAGCATCACAACAGCCTTGATTGTCGTCAGTAGCTTGTTCCATGTCTCGTCGAAATCCACCACCCGCGGCTTTAAGGACATTGTACAGATTCTCTTTCAGCCTTGTGGAAAAAAACAAACACATGAAGTGAGTAAAGGAGTTGAATGAACAGATCAGTTGCTTGGCTTTTGGTTTCAGTTGCTTTATTGTCTGGTCAAAACAATAACATTAATTATTGTGATATAATTTTCCTCAACGTAGCACCTTATTTTTCTAACATATTTATTTTACTCTTGCATATTTGTTGAAAAAATACTTTTCTTTGAATGTTCTACCACAGATATGTGAAGTGATCCACTGTTTGGCATCAAGTGTTTGTCATGTTCTGACCATAATAAAACAAAAAAAACAATTAACCTTCTGGTTTCTTCAACTTCCATTCAGGAGTAAAACTCAGCCTTTAAACTTGAAAGAAATAATGGTTTGACATTTATTGTGATAATTATCAATATCGAATTATCTTAAATTTATTATTGTCATATCTCCCAGCCATACATGTAACCATCCACCTACCCATCCTGCAGCTTGGTTTGTCAATGCAAATATAATATTCCCTAAGTGAAAGCATTACATTTTAGTAGTGAACCAGGCCTAGGCAGGAGCAGTAGGGGTGCTGTGGTATACCGATTTCAGAGTATACTGTGTTATGAAAATTGACATTATCATATCTTTTACATTTGCTGATCTACGTTATTGAAATATACTGTATTAGTGTAATTAAAACATATATATTTCAAGTTTATACTAAGTTTTATGTCTGTCAACACATTGTCTCAACCACAAAAAAAAAAAAAACCTTCTGTTTGCATTCCTTTATGGGTCATTATAACTGATAATAATAATGTTTTTTGTTCTTGTTACTATTAGTGTGTGATACTGTAATAACTTATGGTGTGATATTTTCTGAGACAGTTATTGTACCATGAAAATGTCATACCGTTGCAACCCTAGTAGGTACACAAAGCAAACGTCACGTATCATTAGCAAGGTGTCCCAATATATATAATGATGAAAAAGCTTATAACGCTGAATAATTGAGTAATTACAAAATAATCTCAAAATGTGTTTTTATCCTTTTAAAAGCTACACTCATCATTATAAAGATTTGAAGATGGCATTAATCAGGAGTGACCAGAGTAGATCGATGTCAGGATACAGGACAAAGTGCACATGTACATTAACTGAAATTAGACTAATGATACAACAGCCTGCTTCCAAACAGCTGCTGACATTACTATGGCAGCAACAGATGAGATAAACATTGAGCTCAAGTTCGCGGGGGTGATGCTAACGTTCATCAACAGTGAACACGTTGTGGTAACCATCAGCGATCAATACTATTTAGCTGGTCAATTTACCAAGCGAGACTTCTGCAAATAACAATATATACACTCCAAGAAGAATCACTGATTCACTGCTAAAAGGGGAAACTAGGCCCTGTGTTGTTTCTCGTCATTCATACCAGTTGATTTCACGTCAGAGAAAACGTTGCAACACCATGCAGTTTTTCTTGCTAGCCAATTCACATATGCCGATATCCGTCATTCAAAAGGATGTGTTAAGGCTACTAAATAAACAGCCTTCTTACCATCAGAAATTGGCAGCTAAGTTAAGGTGACTAGCTAGCGGAATACCAATCCCAAAATAGTATGGCTAGCTAAAAGGCTAGCTAGATTCTAGCTAGCATGCTACTTCTTCCTGCCGAAATCCTAACAGTTCTGAGGAATCAGCTAGCAACCAGTCAGTTAGCAGGAAGCTAACGATAGCTCAGCTATCGTTAGCAAGTGGTCATCTTTGAAATTTCCCCACATTTGTACTGACAACTCGGCATGGTGATGTTGTTAAACAATACAGGTTACTGAAGTCAAGCGTGGAGTTTTGAATAGTACGTACCTCTATTCAGTATGTATTTGTAATAAAACTCAAGTTTCTCCGCTGTCACAGGCTTGATTTGTCTCACTTACAGATCTTCCCTACCTCTTGGATTATTCCATTGTATCTGATGGGGGTGTATTATGAAAAAGTGTAAATTGGTCGTTAAACTTTTTAGCTTTCTGCCACGGTAAAATGTCTTAGGGAAATTTTCAGTTTTAAAGAATATGATCTATCCGTGCATATTGACGGGAATAACACCAAACCCACCCGGATCCCAATTATAAGAACAACATCTTTTCATGGTATCGCCTAAAACTACGGAAACCTGTTAGGAGGAATTGAGTATTAAAAATACCCACAGGCATCTTATATTACATCCGTGGTTGTAATGTTTTTATCTCTGTTCTAATTAGAGAGGAGAGAGTAACGTTGTACAGTTTTGCCCAGCGTTAGCGTTAGTTTTACACCACGTATACCAGTGTTTCACCAAGAAGCTGTCCTGTGATACTGTATTTTTACAGAAATCCCTGAGCCTAACGTTAAACTGACACAACCGTGGCAGTTGTGGGAGAGAAATATAAATGAAGAAATTGAATGTCGTTGAAAAACAGTGTCATTTCATAGGAACCTAGAAAAGCATAACTTATGCGGATGAATAGGTGATATTACTAACTTAGCAGTAAGGATAGAAGACAAATCAACCAATCAGAATCGTCGACAAAAATAGTGCCTAACGTTCCTGGGATTTAGCTAAGATTTTAAATAATGCTAAGTATAAACACAATTTATAGCAATTATTAGTTTATTATTAACTGAAGCTACGTTTGTTTTACTCTGATCGTCGCTCACGCTCATCAGGTTGCACACAGGTAACTACAGTACGATGCCAGGATAAAGTCGTCAACTGTTAACAGGTTATTTGCTAGGTAACTTAGGTTAGCTAACTTAGTCATGATTGAATATGTTCGGTTAACGTTAACTTAGACAGGACACTAGTTAGCTAAAATATCAATTTTAGATAGCTTGACCAAAATCCATTAATTTGATTATTTATTAATATTTTATTATTTAACAGCTACATGTAGAGTGGATAGCAAAGTGTTGGCAGCCAATTTTGTCAAAGTACTTGACAAACTTAAATAAAGAAGAGAGAAAACATTCATTAGGTACTTCACTTAACCAGCAGAGGGAGCCACCCAAGGCCAGTGTTTGAAGTCCACTTTTTTAACAGGAAATGCACTTGCAATGTTAACATAATTCACCTTAAAACCCCTTCACCTTAGGTAGCACTAGGCTGAAGGCAAACTAACCTTCCCTCCTCTCCTTTACTCAATAATTCAAGGCAGAGAAAGTACAGAGAGAGAAACAGAGAAGTGCTCCAACAAACTGGTTGAGTCATCATGCCGTCAAGTAACTGGAATAACGCATTGTTTATGAAAACCATAACTCTGAGTTTGTCTAATCCCTAAGGAGAAGTCAGAGTGAGCACCCTGATCTGCAGCCCCAGTCAGAATGAACCAAGTGAAGACAGATGACAAATATCAGCCACGCGCACCTGTGCCCGGCATTCATGCACTTGTTTACCAGCAAAACAACCACAACCAGTGCTGTAAGCGTGTCTAAGAGCACATTTACTTGCACAGTTTATCCTGTTACTTCTACTACACATACTACCTCTTCTACTAATAGGGATACCATTACTACAGCTGCAACAACTTCTACTCTTTACAGTACTTCCACTACTACTGTTAATAATAATAATAAAATAATAATAATAATGATGATGATAATAAAGCAAATAGACAAATTCACATGAAAACTTACTTCTGATATAAGTTTATATAAGTTATAAGTTATTACTTTAGCATTAAAACAAGCTTCGTACTTTTGGCTTATACACATATATAATTTATTATTATCATTATTATCATTATTATTAGTTCTATGTTCACATGCAGCAACATTAACATCCCATTGGAGTTGTGTTTCCATCCACCTGACAGATGTCAGTTCAATATTCACTATCCTTTTAGCTCTGTTTTGGTCTCCACCAACTACTGAGGGAAGTACTTTGGTCTTTACTGTAGATTGAAGTGTTCCAATAAGTTACCAGTAAGTCTACCATTTGGTACTGCTAAATGATTTAATATATTGAGGGAACAGTCTCAAAATCATGACCATGTATCTCAAGAACAGACAACCTGATTATGTATTAAGAGTAGAAACTTTATTGTTGCCATAATAACAGATTGTGTAATGTAAAATTGCCTAACCTATGATTATTTTACAATTTTACCCTCCCAGATGGGTTTTTTCAAGAAGGTCATGTCAAGTTTCTGCCTGTGGGGACACAGAACCTGCCATCTATGGCCGTGACCAGGCCACAAACACCACAGTCACTATCAAGCACCCTTCGATACTACAGGGAGGGATTGAATTGCCCACAGAACTATTGTGTGCCCCCACTGCCAGGTAACACTTGATATACAGTTGCAGCATGACGCTTAGTGGTTAGCACTGTTTCTTCATAATAGGAGGATCCAGGGTTTGAATGTTTGTCTTGGTCCTTTGCACAGTGTGTGCTCCTTTTGTCTGTATAGTTTCCTCTGAGTGGTCCAGTGTCTTCTCCTTTCATAAGACAAGCTTTTTCAGAGTGATGGTACTATAACCAAGGCAATGCTTTCTGAGCTGCATCTTACAAATGATAAATAATGTCATGTTAATCAAATTCTAGCATTATGCATAAAAAGAGGTAAGAAACATTGTTGTGGCCATAATCACAACCAAGTTGTGTAGAAAGAAACCTGATCAAGTATTTTTTACTTGGTACCCATACCTTTTTACCTCCCTAGCTGGATTTTCTCAAGGGGGTCCCGCCCGGTCACTGCCTAATTGGACACAGAACCTGTCGTCTATTGCCATGACCAGCACACAAGCACCACAGCCTCCACCAAGAACCCTTGAGTACAACTGGAATAGGCTGGAAGGTCCACAGAACAATGGTAAGCCAACATTGCCAGGTGACAACTGATTTCCAGACCACTGCCACTAAATAATTAGGATGGCTTGCAAACACGTGTAGAAAAGAAAAACAGTGTCAGTTTCTCATTGTTTCCCGCATTACCTCTGTAAATGTCACAGGAAAGTATTATACTACTAGGACACAAAATGAACCTTCAAGGAAAACAAACAGACACACAGAAAGGGCTACACATGATGATCAAAGCCACTGTTAACGTCATCTCCTGGAAAGTTTGTCCTGTAATTTAGATGAATTTCTTACTGATTTTTGTTGCAGACCAGCAACATACATAAAGAGTCATTATCTTACAAAAGAAGGTACAAGATAAAGCAATGTATAAAATAAAATGTAAATAAAAGGTCAACAAAATCACATATCAGAGAGAGCAAAGTTACACATCTTTAAGTGTTCTAAAGTTCACTAGACCAAATGTTAAACCAACAGATTCACTTAGTATATGCTGACATACCTCTTCATTTAGTGTAGTTTCATTTGATCCCTCTGCAGTGGTGCAATTCAGCTTGTAAGTAATCACAGATTAAGATTTTACATACAAAACATATGATGATCTTATAAAATACTAGAATGTAGTACACTTACCTTTATATACCTATGAGTATCTTAATAAATGAAAGTAGCTCCACCGCAACCAACTACTAGTAAAATGCTGCTTACGTACACCTCTTATTGATGCATCAGAAATATTGTGATATACAGTAGAATATAACAGTTTAACAGTCACATGGGCCATTTGAGTACTTTTACTTTAATGCTTTTTAGGTTGTAGAGTATTTTATAGTGTGGTATTGCTGCTTAAATTGTCTGTCTACCTCTGTAATGCCTGCAGAGGGAGCCAGCTCCTTTAGCTTTGAGTATGTAATTAATCAGCAGGATAATGGCCATATCACCTAATAAGTCTTCGACACAAAGTGAAAATATAGAGGTGGTGGTGGTGGTGGGGGGGTTTACAATATGTCTTTCATAGCTACTGCTGTAATAAAACATTCTTGTAATGGCTTTCATCAAGATATACAATTGTCATTATAGCCATGAAAATACACACAATGTTATCAGATATTTCTGGTATACCCCCAAAAAAAGGATTTGATTGTCAAAATCAAAATCATCTATGCCTCTACTGCCCATCTTCAACAAGTCGTATTCTTCAGTGCTCTGGTCTAGCTGAAGGAAATTCCTTTCCAAAGACAAACAGTCCCTGACTCATAGCACTGTGTCAGGGGAGAGAGCAAACCATACTGTTGACATCAGGAGGCCAGTGATGTCATAGTGATGTCAATGCCTCTAATTGTAAATTGCACACATAGCCTCACTGTTGGCTGTGGTAACATTTCAGTCAGAGGGAAGACACTGAAGGGGACAGTTTCTCTTGGAGAACCTGGGAGTAGATACAGTATGGCTGTAACTGGGGATGAGACAGAAACAGGTAAGCTTGCTATCATCTCTTTTACAGGCAGATCTAAAAACAAATAGGG